GCCTGAGGCTATTTGTTGTTGTGGTCGTCTTGGAACAATGTATCTGACGTGGTTACTGATGTGTGTATTGCCATGTATGTCCTACTCTCTGTGCAGACCCCACACTCACTATCAACAACCTCCGTCACGTCACCTCTTCAGTCCAGGACTGGTATGATCTGGGGAAATTCTCTGATGGGATTACTATGTCTGGTGCTTCTCTCGCTGTGCTGGATGAGATCAGGAAGGATCCTGCCCTGACAGAGGAGGAGAAGAAAACAAAGGTCCTACTCTACTTCCTCCACAATGCCCGATGGCCTCCTGGAGAGAGTTGCAGGAGCACTGTACTCCATGAGGAGGAAGGGCATTACCAGGCGGTGAAGGAGTTCCTTTTCCTGCCAGTCCTCACCAGGTTTCCGCTGTGTCGTCATAACCTCGCTGTCCTAGCAACGCTATGTTGTCCGTGGTTACCGTGACCTTTGACCTTCAGTATGAATCGTGCTTGGCAGTGCCCGTTCTGTTTGCCGTTTTCCGCGGCTGTATATAGTTTTGCCTCGTGTATCGTTTCGTTTATATGCCCGACTGTCCCGTCCAACGAGTCCGAGTCGTTTATTATGCGGCCTTGACTGCCGTCGACGGCAGCGATTAGCGTTCGAGTTCTTTAACGATCTGGGGTTACGCCCACTTTTGAAAAACGCGTCCCAGGGCTTCTCCTTGTCGTAGGAGGCGGCCTCGAACGAACGCGGTGTAAGAACGAAAACGCGACTGGAAACGGAAGGCGCTCCAGCGAGGCTGGCTTTCTTCGAGGAAATAAGCGGCACTTTCGACTCCGCGTGGTACTTCGCGCACGGTATGTTATTACGGAACGGAACGGTATGCGTACGATATGGAACGCCGTTCGTTAACGTTACAACCACCCAGTTTAGTGTGTTATGGTACAATCGTTACTTGCATGAAGCAGCAAGACTTGCCTGGCGTTGTCAGCAACCCATCAGCTTGTTACACAAGAATTTCTCTCTCCTGTTGTGTTCCCAGAGGCCAGTCTCACTCCAGAGAACCTCTCCACAGTTCTAGACATCATGAGTGACGGTCTGTGGAGGAGGTTTGGTGATATGCCAACATACCAGACTCTGAGTTGGACAGGATCAAGGCACAGTGTACCAGTGACAGAGAGTGCAAACAGGCCCTCATTCTCTCCTTCATCTCCTCACATCCAGCACCATCCTGGACTCTGGTGGCATGGGCTCTCTACATGACTGAGTAGGGACTAGGGTGACGGCAGTAGTCTCAGAGCATTGGATCACCTGCAGCAGCTGTTCCCCACTGGTACAGTGGACTTTCTGGTTGGTCGACACTCCCTTCAACATGTACACTTTACTCCCATGCAGGAAGATTCCGCTCCAGCAGATCTACGAGCAGGAGATGAAACGAGGCCACATTGAGCTGGACCTGGACAAAATGCTGTCTGTTTGGCACGCTGGCAGTGGCAAGACGTGCTCCCTCTGCTGCACTGCTCGGAGTGGACCCTCCCACCATCCGACACAGCACTCCAGTCATGAAAAGACCAATCGAGGTCGTGTTCGTGGACGTCGACGGCAAAAAACAGTGGAAGAAACGAACATTAGACCCAACTGCCAGACGCCATCGCTGAAGTCATTCGGTCGCGATGCCACGGCAACAGTCAGTGGCACAGAGCAGTGGTGGCCCAGCCTCCCCCGACCAGCAGTCTCCCCACACCGCAGCCAGCCGTCAGCTCAGCCAACTCCAGGGAAGAGGAGTAGCTCCACTCTGAAGCAGCCGGGAAGAGCACAGCATCCTCGGAGGAGAAGCCCAGGCCAGGGAGCGGCAGGAGACAGAGGGGAGACTGGATTCCCTGCTGCTGTCGAGTGCGGTGGACGAGGGGTTTGTACATCTCATCAACAGTGCTCCTCCTCCCTCCCTGGAGCCCATCCTGCGACTGAAGCAGTTTCCTCGTGCTGGACTCTGGCGGCCAGCCCGAGCTTCTGGAGATGATGCCCGTCTTCCTGAGGGGTGCGTCCAAATTCGTCTACGTCTTGAAGCTCCACGAGTCTCTTGACAAGCGAGCGACGATCCGTTACTTCAAAGACGGCAAGCTAGTGTGGGGAGTACCCAGCCTACCTGACCAACGAAGGGACCCTGAGACTGTGCGTGCGGACCATGAGGTCCCTGAACAACAAGAAACCCCGACATCCCTCCCGCCAAAATGATGTTTCTGGCCACCCACCGAGACATGGTGGCAGACGAGCAGCTGCCCGGAGTGCTGGACACTCTGCACAAGAGGCTGAGGGAGATCCTCTTGCCTCAGTTCAGGGAGCAGCTCATCTACTGCGATACGGAACGGGACGACTTTGTCTTCACACTGAATGCGGCAAAGCCGGAAAAGGAGGACAGGGAGTGTGCAGAGATCATTCGGGAGTGTCTCAGTCGAGGAGGGGAGGGGGGAAGGGAGGTGAAAGTGCCGTTGCGATGGTACGCTCTGTACCAGAAGCTGCTGGAGGTGGCAAATGAACTGGGGAAGAAGGTGCTGCCTCGAGAGCTGTGCCAGCAGGTGGCAGAGTCGATGGAGATGGATGACGAGTCGTGTGGGGAAGCCCTGAACTTCTTTGACGGTCTGAACATGCTTTTCTACTTCCCCGACATCCTGCCCCAGCTGGTGTTCATGGAGCCACAGATGTTGCTGGATAAGGTCTCGGAGCTGGTGGAGGAGACCTACCACATGAGGCAGGGAAAGAAAGCCGTGCCGGGGGAGAAGCTGAGGTTCCGTGACCACGGCGAAGTGACGGAAAAGTTTCTGGGCGAGTTCGAGAGCCACTACGAGCCACCTCTGTTCACACCCAAGGAGCTGGTGACCCTGCTAAAGGGGTTGCTGGTGTTTGCGGAGATGTCGAAGGACGTGTACTTCATGCCGTGTCTGCTGCAAGTGGTGGCGTGGAAGGTGGTGGAGGAACACCGAGTGAGTGGCGGGAAAGCCCTGGCTCTTCACTTCCCCGACAGCGGTCCCCTGATGGGAACGTTCTGCTCCACTGTAGCTTACCTCCTGTCCCCCGAAAACAGTCACCCCTGCCCCTGGAGAGTGGTTCAGAACGAGGCAGGAGCTCCGGAATGCCTCCATCGCAACGTCATCGAGTTCACCGTTTCAGACTACGCAGGCGCTGTGTCACTCATCGATCACTTCACCCACTTCGAACTCCACATACACACCGCAGAGGACCACGAGGCCGAGCTGTGGAAACTGGCACACGACGCAGTGTTTGCAGGTCTCAAGAAAGCAGGGAAGACCATCGGCTACACAAACAACACTCCAGTCCCAGCCATCGTATGCCCCGCCCACCCCCACCCAGCCAAACCCCACCCTGCCACCGTTAAGAAGGGAGTGTGGACTTGCTCAATCAGCTCCAAAAACTTTGGGAAAGTTGCCGAGGTCTCAGTTCCATGGATGTCTGTCTGCACTAGTCACTGTGAGTAATAAAGAAGTATAATAGGGCTGTGTGTCTCATTCAGTTTCTAGTTGGAACAGTCATATATTATGCTTTTCTCTTTCTTTCCCCTACAGCTGCTGAGTCAGCCACGTCCTCTCCCTCCTCTTCATCTTCTGCAGTTCCCTCCACCTCCCAGCCTCCCCTCTCTGTCTCCTCTACCACTGCCACCACTACTACCAACACTCCTGGTGAGTCCTTCTTGGCCTAGTATATAGAGTTTGAGCATCTCCTATTTCACCTTTTACAGCAATTCATGAGAAGAAGAAAGAAGATGATGAGATCAATGATCAGGACCTTGCTGTAATTGCCAGGGACCACCTCACTCAGTGGGAGAAACTCCACCCTTTCCTGGGACTCAACAGAGCTCAGAAGAAGGAGATCGCCAGATCCTACCCGGGAGACTACGGACTGCAGAAACAAGAGTGTCTGGAGGTGTGGAAGGAGAAGATCGGAAGAGAGGCCACGTACCGAGCCCTCATCTCGGCCGCAGAGAAGGCCCGAGGACAAAGAGTTAGCGGACAACATCAGAGACATGTTAGAGAAGACGTGAACATTATACCACCAACCACCACTGTCTGTTGCTACCACCCACTGTCTGTTTTCTCCTTACCTTCCAGCATTAACTGCACACTACACAAAGGCTCCATTCCATTCTCATTTCCCATTCTCAATCTCACATTCATCACCAATGCGCTTTCTTTAATTATTCATCGCATCCGCGTGCACTGACTGACTACCGCATGCGCGTAATTAGTCGCTAGCGCGCGAAGAGTGATTCTGCTGGTGTTGCACACGTGGTGGAGCAGTGAGCAAACCTTCATCGTCGGTCCAGCAGTAGTAGAAAGGTATCCCTCTCCTCTGGCCTCGTCTCCATGTCCTCCTCGTCAACCGCTAGTGGAGACGACGGCTCCAGACGACAGCTGAGTGTCGCTAGAATCTTCTCAGACGAGAATGGAGAGACCCACTTCGGATCTTTCACCATCTCCATGACTGTCTCTGGTATAACTATACGAGTATGTATACAGACGAATACACGCAGAGAAAGGGAGAGACGTTCTGCAAACGAGGGGCAATAATACTGAGAGGCTAAAGATAGGAGAGATATTGTGTTAGTGTGAATTTCATTTTCACTGCAGGAGACATTGGGTGCCTGTCAGAGAAAGTGAGGTGTTCAGAGGTGATAGTATTCCGACATACCCCAGCCACATATGACTATTCCTGGCACAACGCTCCTCGCAGGCCAGTCCTCTTATCAGCTACTCTCTCAATGTCTCTGAAACACGTCATATGTCTTCATCTCCGTCGTCTCTCACAATGTGTTTTTTCTTCCATTAACATATACTGTTTCTTGCTGAACTCAAGGTTTTGTTTTCTTCACCTCTCTCCCTCCCTCTGCCCCGTATTTCCCCAAGTCAGACAGTTCATAGTCAATCTAGATGGAGATGTGGAGGTTGAAGTCAGCAGTGGAGAGAAGAGAGTCATCACACGTGGTCAAGTCTTCTTTGTTGAAGATATCACAGGTTAGTGGTCTGTGTAATAATTAATGACGAGTGAAGCAAGCCTACCTAGTCACTTGAATTCGAGAATTTTCTAATAATTATGTGACAGGGAACTGCAACTGGCAAGAAACCTGTGCGAAACATTTGCATTTGAAATTTTTGCTTTGCTCACCAAAATGCGTTACATTCCTCTAGTATGATTGTTCATGTTCATGTCCTATTCATTCTGCTCATTGCTCTGGGGGCGTGATCGATGGCCAAAGTGGTATGGCTACCACCAGAGAGTTATTCTCTCTCCCTCTTCCCTCTCTCCCTCTTCCCTCTCTCCCTCTTCCCTCTCTCCCTCTTCCCTCTCTCCCTCTTCCCTCTCTCCCTCTTCCCTTCTCTTCCCTCTTCCCTCTCTCCCTCTTCCCTCTCTCCCTCTTCCCTCTCTCGCTCTTCCCTCTTCCCTCTCTCCCTCTTCCCTCTCTCCCTCTCCCTCTCTCTCCCTCTCTCCCTCTCTCTTCTCTCTCTCCCTCTTCCCTCTCTCCCTCTTCTCTCTCTCCCTCTTCCCTCTCTACCTCTTCCCTCTCTCAGGAAAGGGACATTACTCCAGATCAGTAGACGGGAGGCCAAGACACTCCATATTCATCCCAGTTCCAGATGACTTTGTAGCTCAAGACTGCTAGTCCACTTATCACACATGCATAATCAATATCATGAGTTTTAATAGTGGATTTGTCAAACTCACGAGTAGATGATTATATGGTGGAACCCCTATAATCAGAACACCGGAATAGATTGTCCACGATTATATGGTGCTTTTCAGGAGTTAAAGTGTGGGGGAAAGGTTTAATAATCCCCTTGGACATCATGGGTATTTCATGCTTTATAAAGTATTAGTGCCTAGTATCATGTAAATGTATTGGATAGGGAAATAGATTTGGAGGAGATTGCATTGTGTGTTAGAAAGTTGAAGAATAATAAGACTGGTGGTAGTGATGGGCTTGTGGGGGAGCTTCTAAAGCATGGTGGGTCAGGGATGGTAGAGTTACTTAAACAGTTGTTTACAGTAATTTGGTGTGAGGAGTTTGTGCCACCACAGTGGAGGGAGGGCCTCATAGTTAACTTGTTTAAGAAGGGAGATAAGGAGGATCCTGGGAATTATAGGGGCATCACTCTGCTGAGTGTGGTTGGGAAGGTCTTTTGTAAGGTATTGAACAATAGGTTGGTGAAGCATCTGGACGAGGGCAAAGCATTGCATGAGGGCCAGGCTGGTTTTAGGGTTGGAAGGGGTTGTGTTGATAATAATATTTATACGCTGAATGAACTCGTGCAGGGTAGACTAAAGGAGGGGAAGGAGACATATGCATTCTTTCTAGATGTGCAGAAGGCATATGATAGTGTTACAGAGGGAGACAAAAGACTGCCACCGAACTGCCTGGAGTGGTCGGTCATCAGGGTGCACGGGGATGAGACGGTAAGCTGACTCTATGTCGACCTTCGCCAGCAGGGCCCCTGGACCAAATTACCGCAATACACTATTATACTGTACATAGAATACACATCTCTCATTCAAACATGTATGATGATAGGACTTAGTCTCTGGCTATTTAGCCGTACATGTCAGAGTGGTCTTGAGGAGGTTTTGCTCCCGCTGCAGCCATTCGATCTCTCGATTTCTCTGATTATCTCTGTCTTCCTTCGTCTTCCTGAGGCCTTCAGTCACATCGAAATCTATTGACTGGTACACCACTTTCGTTGCGTCTGTCACCCCCTCTCCCTTCCCCCCACCTCCTCCGCTTTCTCCTGCGCTAGATGCGACAGACGTGGTTCGCTGATTTGGATACACTTGAGTATAGTTTGAGTCGACGTCTTCAGCGTGCGAGAATCTCATGGTGGCATACTGAATTCCACCCACAGCACCGCCCGCGAATGGTTGGGTTTGTGCTCAAGAACGCGGGTTTTGGAGGGACTAGAGGTTTGTCGAATTGGAATCGGTGGCTGGAGAGACTGACGGTGAAGCTGGACTTCTCTCGTCGTGGCGGTACGGCCGGGGAATCCTCAAACTGCTGCGAGGGGTGGGTGACTGAATGGCTCTGGTGGGGACACGAGTGGGGGTTTTTTCAGCCGCCACACGTTCTCCCTCTCTCCTCCTCCACAGCTGCGCTGGTGGACGTGTTTCACGGGCGGTCGGGGGACAGTCGGCGAACGAGATCTCTCCCTTGATCCTCCGGAGCCACACCCACTCCTGTTCTACTGCCTCGGAGTTTGTAAACTTTCGTGTCTTCGGAAGTGGTCTGTTATCGGTTGCCGTGGGCCTGGAGGGAGTGGCAACGCCGAACGATTCGTCTAGTGGCCATCCTATTCTTTCACTGCACTCTCCAGCTATAGTCAAGGTATTCAGGATGGTTGGTTGGTCTGTCCTTCCCCCCACTTGCTTGCTAAAAGTACGAACAATTTAGGCCACCCTATTCTTTCACTGCACTCTCCAGCTATAGTCAAGGTATTCAGGATGGTTGGTTGGCCTGTCCTTCCCCCCACTTGCTTGCTAAAAGTACGAACAATTTAGGCCACCCTATTCTTTCACTGCACACTCCAGCTATAGTCAAGGTATTCAGGATGGTTTGGTTGGCTCTGTCCTTCCCCCACTTGCTTGCTAAAAGTACGAACAATTTAGGCCACCCTATTCTTTCACTGCACTCTCCAGCTATAGTCAAGGTATTCAGGATGGTTGGTTTGGTCTGTCCTTCCCCCCACTTGCTTGCTAAAAGTACAAACAATTTAGGCCACCCTATTCTTTCACTGCACTCTCCAGCTATAGTCAAGGTATTCAGGATGGTTGGTTGGTCTGTCCTTCCCCCCACTTGCTTGCTAAAAGTACAAACAATTAGGCCACCCTATTCTTTCACTGCACTCTCCAGCTATAGTCAAGGTATTCAGGATGGTTGGTTGGTCTGTCCTTCCCCCCGTGCTTGCTAAAGTACAACAATTTAGGCCACCCTATTCTTTCACTGCACTCTCCAGCTATAGTCAAGGGACATCCTGAATACCTTGACTATAGCTGGAGAGTGCAGTGTGTTGAAAAGAATAGATAGGCAAAATGTTCTACTAGTAGCTAGTAGAGTAGAGTCGAAGTCAGCAAGTGGGGGGAAGGACACAGACCAACCAACCATCTGAATACCTTGACTATAGCTGGAGTGTGCAGTGAAAGAATAGGGTGGCCTAAATTGTTTTGTACTTTAGCAAGCAAGTGGAGGGAAGGGACACAGACCAACCAACCATCCTGAATACCTTGACTATAGCTGGAGTGTGCAGTGAAAGAATAGGGTGGCCTAAATTGTTTGTACTTTAGCAAGCAAGTGGGGGGAAGGACAGACCAAACAACCATCATAAATACTTTGACTATGGCTGGAGAAATAAACTGTCAACAAGGCAAGGGGTTAAGGGGTTACCATGGTGTGTTTGTCCCAGTGTAGTGAGTCAAGGTTCCTGGGGTCAGCTAGAGCTCTGTGAGTGGACCAGTAGTAACTGGAGTCCTCTGAGAGGGAGAGAGAGAGAGAGAGTGGAGAGAGAGAGAGAGATGTGGGGAATATGGTCACACATGTAGGTTATGTTGATGAAATGATGACATTAAAAGGCTTATTCACTGAGATATAAGCCACATGAGATCAGCAATTGAACAGTGAGATACAACAAGCATCAAAGTGTTGCGTGAACCAGTGAGATAAGAACAGAAGAGGAGAGAGAGAGAGAGAGAGAGGGAAGACAACATGAATAGATATGAAAGAGAGATACTAACTATTGAGGAGGTCGGCCATGTTGGCCAATCACGCCACTGGCAAGAGTCATCCAACAGTAGAGGTCAACGTGGTACTCATCAGTGGCGGGGTGAGTGGCTCGCGGATAGTCATCCAGCCCGGACGTCAGTGTCTGATTACATCACCATTACGTCATAATTACATCACCTCTAATGCCGGAGCCTCGTCTGCATACCTTAGGGTTCAGTTCCCTGTCAGTGGTGGCATTTCTACCTCTCCAACGATAGGTCAGAGGTCGTTGCCCCGACTACAAACACAAAAACAATACAAAACAAATAATTCGTCAAAAGACAACAAAAACACAAAAAGGAATAAACAGGACAAAAAAGAAAGCAATGCTAAGGTGTAGTTCAGGTAAACTGGTCAACGAGTTAGGTACCTGTGTGGAGTTGAACCATGAGTACCAGACTTGGAGTCTGGGGTAAACGAGTCGAGGTACTCACATGTCAACCCTCCCCTCCGACTCCATACGAGACAACAGCGTTTCCATGGTGAGGAAGAATGTGGGCGGGTTGGCGTTCTCGTTGTGTTGGACAATGAATTCAGGAGGAACCTTCGGACATGGAGAGAGGGAGGAGAGAGAGAGGAAATAATTAAGGGCACTCTAAATAATGCACACCTCTCTATAAAGGACACTTGATACGGCACATTAGTGCATACCTCAGAATAAACCTCTCAATAAGGACACTTTAAAGGTGTGCATTATTTAGAGGTTGTTTGAGCATACCTTACTCCTGGCCTCGTGTCCCAAGATCTGCTCCCTGGGTATCCATCCTTCACTGTTGATGAGATCCAGCCAGTGAGCCAACACATCCTACGAGGGAGGGAGAGGAGGGAGAGGAGAGAGAGGAGGGAGAGGAGCTGTACATGTGAACTAAACAGCACACGATCATAGAAAAAAATATTACTTCTTTCAAAAACTATAAAAAGGAAGTATTAAGCTATTTTTAGTTGCAAGGGAAACCAGTGACCATTGTGAAATACGACGCTATACAACGTCAAAGTTGACTGGGAATAGGGAAGTGAGAAGAGCTGGTTGCCTTGGTGATGGAGGTGTCCCAGTGAGCCACAAGGAGTTGGTGAAAACCCTCATCCCACAGAAATCCTCGAGGAAAGAAGGAACGTGACGGAACCCCCGTGTACAGCTCTGCCGGCCAGTAGTCCTGCAGGTCATGTGACCATCACATGAGAGTCATGTGACACCGGGATTTAGTCATGTGACCACTGCATGTGACTATCATGTGACTTACCACCGGTTCGTCGAGATCCCTACTGATAACTCTGTGGGAATTGACAATATAACTGAGGATTTTCAGATGTTTTAAGTCTCACTTTGATTGGCCGAAGAAGTAGGAGATCCCACCAATCAGATTGCTGAAAGCAGCTCTGGCACAGTCTATCTCCGACTCATTAAACCCCTGAGCAGAGATGGAATTATGCACACTGACTGAGGAACCTACAGACTCTATTACATTAGTCTTTTTATTTATGACAATATTTACGATTCTGATTTGAAACTTTAATCTTTCAGTATTAGAAATTGTTAAAGAAAAAGTATAAGAGTGTATTGTATAATACAAAGCCTAAAAGTCCGAAAACATTTCCTTGGTATAGTAGAATTCAACCTACAAAGTTAATGTTTGTCAGGTTACCTCTTAAATGTTCCTTTTCTATTCCCTTCAAGACAAGAGCATAATTGGGAAATTAGCTACTTCTGTGTGGGAGACAGTCTTTTACTCAGCGCACATCTCCCTCCCTCTCTTCTCACTAACCTTCTCTTTGAGGTGGAAGGTGTCCTCGAATCGGAGGTCAAAGTTCTTCTCCTTCTTCTCCAGCGCACTGCTCAACCTCTCACCACTCACACTCATCACCGTGCTAAACAACCCCGTCTCCATGACGATGTCCAACTCAAACGGAACCGTCGTTGTCACCTACTATTGCGAAATCAGAGGGAGCTGTTGCTACAGTGGAATCTCTGAATAAGGGTCACCTTGGGGACATTGAGAGTGTGCTTTATTTAGAGGTAGTATAATACACTAATGCATTACTATGATGCAGAACCTTCACGTGTCCTATATTCAGAGATGTCGTAATGTTAGTTGGGAGAAAACAAAGAGGGTGATTTTTTCAGAGACGGCAACAGACCTGGTAGGCAACGAGGTTTGGTTTGAGGGGGCCCCCGTCGTCAGGGGTGATTTCCCCAGGGAGGGAGGGTAGAGGTGGCCACGTTCTAGGCCCTTCTTCCACCACCATTACTGACCTGGCGAGAGAGAGATCGCACAGGATCGAGTAAGGCAATGAGATGGTGGATGCAGGGAGAGTCTCACTTGAAGAATGAGTCCAAGTGAGTGGGTGAGGCCACGCGGGCAGCGAGGTAGCTATGGTGGGCGTCGTCTGCCACCGTCTTCCTCGGTAGGTACAGTCTGAACTGACGGAACTGGCGACAAGACAATTGAAAAAAAACGGACATTTTACAATGAACAGTAGTCCCTGAAATGAGGACACCTCTCTAAAGACACCTCTCCTTCCCCAAGTACAGTTCTACATGCAGTTCAACCCCTGAAACAAGGACACCTCACTAATATGGACACACTTTCTTCTGTCCCAAATTTTCATCTTTCTGTTGCAAATTGTGAATACAGCTCATTACATACCTCGGGGGTGTGGCCATAGACCTCTTCCAGTGACCTTTGACCTCCGGAGGTTCTGTAAGCCATCTCTCCTTTCCCCTCGTTGAAGAGGTAGACGATGAGGGAAGTCAGAATTGGTCGTTGGGACAGGGGTTTCCCCCGGATACGAGCCGACCAGGTCTCCCCCAGACTGGTGTTGGCCATCGTTAAGAACTCTGTCTCTAGCATCATTTCTGTGAGTGGGCGGGGCTTGTCGTCAGGGGATACTATTAATATACACCAATAAAACAGAATAGAGTAGAGAGAATGTCGTCATTTCAGGGGTGTCCTTAAAGAGGTGTTTCAGAAAATGTCAAAACAGTTGTTAAGTTCTTGTGTTGTGCCTTATGAGAGAGGTGCCCTACCATTATCAGTGCCAATTATGAGTACTTATTAGTCAAAATTGTCTCCTCATCAGTGGAAAAGTATATACACAAGAGGAACGTATATACTTATTCCCTGACAACCCCACGGTGTATCCATTACTATACATACATACCATGGTCGACAATCCTCTGCTGTCCGTAGCTGGTACCATCATGTCGTATCCACCCATACTGCCGCAGATCATCGCCATGCTGACAGCTGTGGCGTATCTCCATCCTCCCACTACCATCGTTACTATACCACATTATTCCTGCCAGCAGGGAGCGTGGGACGCGGGGCCTGATCCCGAAATACACGTTGGACCTACGGGGTAAACATCACCACGACAACCATTACATAATCACCATAGCAACACTACATTGATAAACATAATCACCATAGCAACACTACATTGACAAACATACAAGTTCACAATCACCATAGCAACACTACATTGATAAACATAAAAGTTCACAATGCACAAGACCTGTAAAAATGGAAGACATCACCTGTATGTGCCCCAGAGTCTAGTCAGATAGACACTGTCGTTACGCCATGTCTCCGATACTGCACGAGGAAGTGGGAGGGGCTTGTTGACTCCAGGCCCCGCCCACCACATCTCTCCAAAATACACGACAATAGCCACACCCCCAAACAGCAGAGCTGGCAAGACGACGTAATGCACTGGCATTCTTCCTCGTCCCCCTCCCTCTCTCCCTCTTCCTCTAACATTCCTCGTAGACCTCTGCTGTTTCCTAGCAACTGGTGGTTGTGGCTTACTACCTCCATCATCATATTCTTTTCCCTCATTCCCTATTCTCTCCTTACTCCTCTCCTTCATCTCCCCCTGTCCCAACAACATACAACAGTTAGAGAGAGAGAGAGAGTTACTTCACCCAATTGCCATGACAAACCACCCCCACCTCTTCCTCCCTGCTTCCATCCTCTCTCTTTGCTGCCTGAATAAAACAGAAAAAGCGGTGGGACTAATGGTGCTCTACTAAAAGCATCAATCTGGGTCTTGTCTTTCTTCAGCAACTCACTTTTCGACTCTTTCCCTTCGCCATGCTATGAGATCGCGTGTGTTATGCGCAGGCGCAGGGTCACTAGCTCCTCCCCCACGTGGATGCTGTGCATTAATTGGAATCCTCCTTGGAAGCAAGAGGATAATGGTAAGCCTGCTACTTGGAGCCTCTGAATAAAGTGTACGTAATCTAATACCACAATACTGCTTTACCTTCCCACTGTAGTACAGTGTAGCCTACAGACAAGAGCAAGGTTAGTGTGACGTCATCAGCTACTGAGATTGCTGCTGTCTCCAGCCCATTCCGACAGCGTGTGGGGCGTGGCCTGGACTCGGAATGAGACCCTGGACCAGGAGCTCATTGTGTCTGGCTCTGTCGACAACACAGTCCGAGTGTGGGCATGGTGGGCGACTATTTATAGCATCAATATGATCATTACGTCATTGATTTTTACGTATAGGGATGATGGGAGGTCCCTATTGGAACCAAAGTGGACTTTTGAGGGGCATCAATTGGGAATCGTCTCCGTGGCAACCAACCAAACTGGAACAGGTAAAGCCACAACATTGCCTTCCTAGTCGTTTCAATTTTCTATATTGTGACGCAGTGCTGTAGATTCTAAATATGCGTGAAACGCACAAAAAATCGAACTGCTCTCTTTTCACTTGCCAAAAGTATAGTCTGTGATGATTGTTGGTGTGTGGATGCAGTGGGAGCCAGCAGTGGTCTGGATGGTGGTATCAGGACATGGGACCTCACCACAGGAGAATGTGTCAGGAGTATTGACGGAGGTCCAGTGGATGTGTGGACACTCACCTTCTCCCCTGACTCACAGGTACACATCTCGTATCCAGACTCCTCTGAGGTACAGTGGAACCTCTCTCTTAGGACACCCGTGAATGAGGACACCTCTCTAAATTATTCTTTCCCCAAGAACAGTTCTTACTGTGCATTTTAACCCCTTAAATGGGATGTCTCACTAATATTGACACTTCCTACCGTCTCATTGGTGTCTGCTTTTTCATTTTACACAAACTTCATTCTTGACTCCTGAAGATTTCTTCTAAAGCAGTACATAATAGAGAGCATGTTGTTTCTCTCTCTCCCTCTCTAGTTCATAGCAACTGGTAGTCACAATGGTAAGATCAACCTATTCAGTACATCGGAAGGAAAGAAAGCCAGTTCTCTGGACACTCGCGGCAAATTCATCATGAGCGTCACCTACGTGGGTCACATGACATCATGTGATCCCATTAACCCCTCTCCCACTAGAGTCCGGATGGGAAGTTGATAGCGAGTGGTGCGGTGGACGGAATCATCAACGTATTTGACGTGGCCACTGGAGCCCTCCTGCACACTCTGGAGGGTCACGCCATGCCAGTCAGATCTCTCTGCTTCTCTCCCGATTCCCAGCTTCTCGTTACCGCCTCTGACGACAGGGACATGAAGATATATGACGTGTGAGTGAGACAGCA